GGAGAAGTAAAGGCAAGAGTAATTAGCATTACAAGCTCTAGACAGGGAACTAGAAAAAAGTCAGAACAGGGCAGCTTTCAAATGTTCATATGAGAGACCATTGGAGTTTCTTGACAAGGGCTTCCAAAAGCATCCCTCTATTGGGTTCTTCCTCATTTTTCTTTTGTCTTCCAAGGCTGGACTAGTTGGCTGGGAAGAGTGGCTGGATACTCAGGTGAGGGTCCAGTGATCCTGCTTGGCACTCCTTTAATGAATGAGCACAACCATCAACAAGCCCAGTTATGACTATGTTTAGCGATCGGGCTCAGCCGAAGTTGTGATGATGGTAGTTATTTTATGCAGAAGGGACTGCTGTATATCATCATCTTATTAAAATGACCTGGAATTTAAAAGTGTTTGGTGCTTGGAGCCACATATGAAGGAGAACATACATCGTTTGTTTTTCTGAGTCTGTATTACTTCACTTAGTATAACAGTTTCTAGATCCATCTATTTACCTGGAAATTTCATTATTTCGTCTTTCTTTACTACTGAATTGAACTCCATTGTGTAAATATACCATGTTTTTGTTAACCACTCGTCAGTTGAGGGACACTTAGGTTGCTTCCGCCTCTTAGCTATTGTGAAAAGCAGCAGCAAACATGATTATACAAGTATCTCTACAATCCCTGAGTCCTTTGGGCATATGCCAAGGAGTGGTATAACTGGGTCATATGGTAGGTTCATTTTCAGTTTTTTAAGAGAATTTTTGCTAATTTTATACTATACATTTAAATAATGTTTAGAACCCTCCCCTATCTTTACCCTCTTAACCCCCCCCCACACACACTGGATTTCATATACTCTGTCACATATTAAGGACTATCAAGTCAAATTTGTGCTCCCAATTGTTCTTTATTGCTATCCACTGGAAACTAGTCACACCCTTAAAGGAAAACAACTCTCCCTTTCCCAGAAGTTCAGGTTCCAACAGTTCTTCAGCTAAGGTTGGGGCTTTTTACCCAGTTACTTCTATGCTGGGATTTTGTCTGGCTTGAGCTTGTGTGGGTCATGTGTGTATGGCTATCATTGGTGTGGGTTCATATGATTAACTTCTTGGCTGTCTAGAAAACTCCATTTCCTTGTTTCATTCACCTCTCACCTCAGGCCATTTTGATTCTAGTACATAATATACTTTTGACCACATTCCTCTTCATACTCCTGTCCTCTTCCTTCTCCATCTTCTCCCTGGTTTGTCTGCTCTGTTCCCCTGGACAGTTCTGCTGCCGTTTTATATCATCTGCACATATACAAGTTTATTTTTCTAAAACACCAGGACCCACAGATGAGAGAAAACAAAATATTTGCCTTTCAAAGATTGGCTTCATTGACTTAATATGAATGTCTTCATTTACATCATTTTTCCTGCAAACTGTAAACTGATTCTTCCTATGTTTGTGTGTGTGTTTGTGTGTGTGTGTGTGTGTGTGTGTGTGTGTGTGTCTGCATTTTGTGTATATGTCTGAATGTTCCTGTATGTTCGCCTGCCATGGCACACATGCAGCAATCAGAGAACAAACTCTGTGATCATCACCTTCTGTGTCTGAGACAGGCTCTCTCATACACTACTGCATATGAGAACCCAGTTGACAACACATAATTAATAAGATTTATTTAAGTAGAAAATAGAACTGGGTCTTTCTGCTGCCTTTTGTTTTAAGCCATTTTTCTTCATTGTAATGAAATACCTGAGGCAGGCTACTTGTGGGAAAAAAAAAAAAGAGATTCATTTCAGTTCATAGTTTGGGAGGCTTAAAGTCCAAACAGCCTAGTACAGGCTCTGACAATAAACCTGTGGTGCATGGAAGGGATACATCCAAAAAAGAAAGATTGCACTGGGAGATGGGTACCAGAGATGAGTGAGTCAGGAGCTGGGCTTTCTGTTATAGTAACTCACCCTTACAAAAATCATGAGTCCCACAACAGCTACCTTAACCTCTTCCTACTCTTTTAAGGTTTCACCATCTCCCACTCTACCTCACTGGGTACCAAGCACCATTCACGTAAGCGTTCAGAGAACATACACAACTTATATCCAAACAGTAGCACATTTTAAAATGAAATATGAAGCATAGAGGAAATGTACATGGATTGATGGAGCAATTGCAGGTTCCCTATTCATAATTACATTCTAGAAATTTGAAATTCACCTTAAGATCTGCTAAAACTAACATTATTTATCTTGTTCTATGGCAATTTCTATCTATTTACTTTTTTAATTTATTATTGACTGGAAATCAAATAACAAAACTAGATACTAAAGAAAGGCTTTGTAAGGCACAATCTATTTCCTGCTGCCAGATTAATGTCTATCTAACCAGGAGAGGTTTGTGCCTTCACTCCATGCACAGGGCCATATCAGCTTCAGTCCTCACCCAAGTATTGTTTGAAAGAAAAGAATATGAGACCAGATGGGCATTTAAGTGCAAGTTTGTAATTCCAGCACCAGGGAGGTTAAGACAGAAGAGTTTTGAAACCAGGTTTGATACCAGCCTGGTCTATATAGTGAAATCCTATCTCAAAATAAATAAAAAATTGAAGACATATTTGTCTTCATATTCAGAATTTGATGCTCTTCTTTCTTGTTCTTCAATAATACCTTTCCACAAGTGGATATAATTCTTATTCAATTAAAGACAAATTTTCAGAGACCACAAGGCGAGGTATACCCACATCTCATTGTAATGTCTCTTCTCTTCTTTTCCACAGATTAAAGGTTGTACAAAACTTAAAAGAAGCAGAGGCAGTGGTTCTCTTCACTTGTTATTGGACTTGAAACTCCTTTGACCTCCGAAACTGAAGATGAGGTTGCCATGGGAACTGCTGGTACTGCAATCATTCATGTTGTGCCTTGCAGGTAGAGTGTCATTTCAAAACTTTTTGATTTAAAAGTGCCACTGTATTTCACACTAATTCAAAAGTGGGCCTTTGCTTTAGATGACAATGATACAATGGTGAGTGAGTGTTACTATGGCTAGCATTTACTGTCATCGATGAATACACCATCCCAATGGTCTTTTGGAGGCTCTCCATGGTGTTGCACCCAGGGATTGTCACTTATGCTTCTCCTGGCTATTTGGTCCTTTTAGAGTCTTTTGAATCATTGTTTAAAGTTTTTACTTTTGCTCATTCTACTGCTCAATTACACAAAAATACTTGGGCTGTAAATTTAGTAATACAGTTTGAAATATTGCCCATTTTGATGTTGATGAATCGAACTTTATCTGAGTTGTTCTTTCAGTCTACTCTGTCTTTGAATTATTTTGTCTTTGTTTTTGTTTTTGTGTTTAATTTTCATTTCAATGAACCCATATCTCAGTAGGACTCATAAAGCAAAAATTCAGTTAAGTTTTGGCACAGATTCATGAGCAACTACTAGAAAGGATTTTTATTTTGTTTTTTCTTGTTTTTTAAAGTTCAAACACAATAAAGCATGCTGGCACATGCCATTATTCCCAGCACTCAGGAGGCAGAGGCATGCAGATCTCTGTGAGATCTAGGCAAGCCTGTTCTACATAGCAAATTCCAGGCCAGCTGAGACTTCAGGGTGACATTGTCTCCAAAAGGAGGAGGAGGAGGATGAAGGGGAGGAGGAGGAGGAGGTAGACAGTGGAGGGGGAGGAGAAGAAAAGGAAGAAGAAGAAGAAGAAGAAGAAGAAGAAGAAGAAACCACAGGGGAAAATAAATAGGACAACTA